CAAGCATGATGTCCCTCTCCAAGGACTGGTCCCTCCTTGACACATGACCAAAGTATATCAGACAGAGCCTCAGAATCCTTGCTTCCAAAGAGCAACCTGGTTTCACCCTCTCTACGTCAAACCTGTTTGTTCTGGTAGTCCATGCTATAGTGGTATATTCAACACTATTCTCCAGCATCACAGTTCAAAGGCATCAATTCTCTTTCTATCATCCTTAGTCATTGACCATCTCTCTGATGCATAGCAAGTAATTGCAAAGAGTATGGCCTGGATCAAGTGCACCTTAGTCTCTGGAATGAAGTCTATGAGGACAAAAAAAATATGATTTTGAGTCTATCCTATTGGAATTTAAAAACCATTTTAATAGGTTTGAAGAATTGAACACCAGAGATTGGAGACTAAATGAGATGTGGGCTGAGATTAAGGATATCATCCATGAAGAGAGCAAAAGTTCACTAAAAAGACAGACGAGAAAGAAAAGACCAAAATGATGACAGAAGAGATCCTGAAAATTGCACTAGAACATCAAGAAGCCCAAACAAAGGGAAGAGATGCTGAAATAAAAGAGAAGAGCTGAACCAAAAAATGCCAAAAGGCAGCTAGAGAAAGCACAGCAAACTATTATAATGGAATGTGCCAGAGACCAAGAATTGGAGAATAAAAAGGGAAGAACTCACTCAACATTTCTCAAGCTGAAGGAAATGAAAAACAAATTCAAGCCTCGAGTTGCCATACTTAGGGATGCTATGGGCAAAATCTTGAAGGATCCAGGAAACATCAAAAGAAGATGGAAGGAAGGGAGCTCTAGTAGCCTAAATGGCAAAGAAGTTGTACAGCAATTTTGAAGATTCACAGTTCTAATCCACCAGATGCTCTACTGAAGAAGGAGGGGTCATCTCTCCCTGTGCCAGTAGGATCCAATTAGACGGTACACAACATGAAAAAGGGGAGGAAAACCCCAAAAAGTAGATGGAAGATATACACAGAGTCAGATGAGTACATAGGTGCCCTTTAAGGGCCCAGTGAAGAAGTCTTTGTGGCAAAGAGGGTAAAGTGTTTGGCTGTGAATCCAAAGGATGGTGGTTCAACTCACCAGGGAGAAAGATGTGGCAGTCTGCTTCTCTAAAGATTAATTTCCTTTAAAGCTGTTGTTGTTGTTGTTATTTGCTCCTGAGTCAATTAAAACCCCAGATGACAATTCTACTCTGTCCTGGAGGGTCATTTTGAGTTTGGATCAGTAGTAATGGGCTTTGGTTTGGAATGTTCCAAAGAGGAAAAATAACCACTTAAGAAGCCAAAGAAAGAATCCAAGCTTTCAAATTCACTGACATTTATGCTGTGCACCTCACTACCTCCTTAGATACCATTAGGTTCTCTATGCTCCAAACCTGCATCTATGGGGTTTAGAATAACTTCCCACAATAACTTTCTGCTGTTTCTATCAGAAGCCACTCGAAGCTGACCTTGTACTCACTGGCTACAAAGGGAAGAGAGCAGAGTTCTTTATATTGAATGAGGGTATTTATTTGTGAAGACTGATTCAAAATCAAGAAGTTCAAGTTGAAGTTGAAATGACTTGATAATAATCTTTTGTTCTCTTTTGGAGGAGGATTGCTTTTTATCTCAGAGAAATAAATTCTAAAATACTACACTGAAGCATAAAATTCTGTTCTGTGCTGATCTTATTAACATCAGAAAGATTGCACTGAACATATTCTTTGCTTTGTAAACCTCAATGGTCTCTGACCAAAAACAATGCAATTCCCACCTGACCCAGGAAATCTGTGTTGATTTATGCCTACCCAGTTTTCCAGTCCAGAACAGGATTAATTTTGCTCCTAATTCAAACAGAGGCGGTCAGATGTGAAACTAGGACCCGGAAAGCTTTTTCTACTGTGAAAAATTCTGATGGAAAGTGGAGCAATCAATAAAGGAATGGCTCAAGCTCCAGTCTACAAATTCCCCTGGGCTTCTCAAGGCTCACCACCACCACCACCACCAACCTGCTTAGAATGAAATAGTGAAATGACATAAACCAGTAGGTAGATACAAACTAGAAGTCACATGTACATCCAGTATATTTGCATTTGCTTTTTCTTCTGACGGTTATCTTTTTAACTTTTCTATTTGCATGGATAAAAGTCAAGTATATGTAAAAATGTCCACCACACATCTACCAGTTTTTCTACTGTGGTGACTGGAATGTTGCTATGATGCTGAAAGCTGTGCCACTGGTATCTCAAATACCAGTGGAGTCAAAACTAAGACGTAAAACCCAGTGATGCATTTGTGAAAATTAGGTAATGAAAACTCCGTGAATAACAGAATATTGTCTGATGATGTCGACTAACTTACTTTGGATGCCTCATCTGCACAGTCCGATCACTGAAAAAGAATATCATGGTTAGTAAGGCAAATCGTAACCCTCAAGGAGCTGTCTAGGCACAATGGCTGCAACAGTGAACTCAGATATGCCAACCATTATGAAGATGGTGAAGAATGGGCCAATATTTCATTCTCTTATGGATGTGCTCACCAAGTTGTGCCAAGAAATCTGGAGAACAACCACTTGGCCAACTGACTGGAAGAGATCTATATTTGTTCCCATCCCAAAGAAGGGCAACCCAACTGAGTGTGGAAACTACAGAACAATATCATTGATTTCACATGCAAGCAAGATTCTACTGAAGATTATCCAAAAACGACTGGAACAGTACATCAGCAGAGAACTGCCAGAAGTCCAGGCTGGGTTTAGAAGGGGTCGTGGTACTAGGGATATTGTAGCTGATGTTAGATGGATCTTAGCTGAAAGCAGAGAATACCAGAAGAATGTCTATCTGTGTTTCATTGATTATGCAAAGGCATTTGACTGCGTGAATCATAACAAACTGTGGCTGACTCTGAGAAGAATGGGAATCCCAGAACATTTAATCGTGCTAATGCGAAACCTATACTTGGACCAAGAGGCAGTCGTCAGAACAGAGCAGGGCAACACTGCATGGTTCAAAATTGGGAAGGGTGTACGTCAGGGATGTGTCCTATCTCCATACCTTTTCAACCTGTATGCAGAGCAGATTATCCGAGAGCCTGGGCTCTATGAGGAGAAGCATGGCATTAGGATTGGTGGACGATCTATCAACAATCTGCGTTATGCAGATGACACAACCTTGCTCGCTGAAACTGAGGAGGACCTCATCCTCATGCACTTACTGCAGAGGGTCAAGGACTGCAGCCTTCAATATGGACTGAGGCTCAATGTCTAGAAGACAAAAATTCTCACCACTGGACCAATCGGTAGCATCAGGATGGATGGTGAAGAGATTGAGATTGTACACAGCTTCAGTTTGCTCGGCTCCACGGTCAACACTCTTGGCACCAGTAGCCAGGAAATAAAAAAAAAAAGTATTGCGATGGGAAAGTCTGCGGTTAGGGACCTCTCTAAAGTACTCAAGAGCAACGGTGTCTCTCTGGAGACTAAGGTGCGCCTGGTACAGGCCATGGTTTTTGCAATCACTTGTTATGCATCAGAGAGTTGGACAATGACTAGGGAGGATAGAAAGAGAATTGACGCCTTTGAGCTGTGGTGCTGTAGAAGAGTATTGAATGTACCATGGACTGTCAAGAAAACAAAACAGATTCATCTTGGAGAGGATTAAACCAGGCTACTCCTTGGAGGCAAGGATTCTGGGGCTTCGTCTGACATACTTTGGACATGTTGTAAGGAGAGACAGGTCTTTAGAGAGGGACATCATGCTGGGGAGAGTAGAGGGACAGCGCAGGAGCGGAAGACTCTCTATGAGGTGGATTGATTCAGTGACTGGGGTAATCGGGATGGATGTGTCAGAGGCAATGAGATTGGCACAGGGTAGAGCATGGTTTAGGGCCGCTATGAGTCGCAAACAACTCGACGGCACATAACAACAACAACATATATTATGATGTTGCTGTCGTTGCTGTTGTTGTGTACCAGACAGTCGGAATCGAACCATAGCTGACCCTCTGACGGTTTTTCAGAGTCAACTAATCGGTTTTCAGAGGCATGGGAAGAGATTGCCCATCCTTCTCCCGCAGAGTGGCTGGTGGCCTCAAACGTGTACCTTTGGAATTGCAGTGCAGGTTCTTGCCACTAGGCCACTAGAGCACCATAGATAACATGATTAATGTATTATAAGTCAAGTGTGTGTGTGATAATAAAGGCTTAGATGGGCATTTCAAGGTATGTGGCAGCTACTGTTCTAAACGCATATATGCTTAATCTTCACAAGTCTAAGGTGACCTTTTATAAATGAACAAATAGATTTTCAAGGGCCAAAAATCTTGGCTTACATATCAAATGTAAGTGGAGAAAGTAAGATATGCAGACATGCATGTCTGTTTAACCGTGGCTTAGTGGTACAGCGTTGTACTGCCAACAGAAAGGTTACTTTGTTCGAATCCCCTAGTTGCTCCTCAGGAGAAAAATGGGCAATCTCAGTGCAGTGTATTGCCTCTAAAAACCTACTGGAGGGTCAGCTATGGGTTGGTCCCAACTCGACCGTACACAGCAACAAAGTACACTATAGAGATACAGTGAAAGTTGGAGAATGAATATTGTTGGTAGGATCCTTAAGTCAAAGATTTTCTCAGTATTCGTTTCACCCGAATGTCCTACCTCTCTAATTGTCCGAGGCCAGGACAGATATGTTGCGCGGGAAGGAGCTGGAAGGAGACTGACTGAACAGCAGATGGAGAGGTAGGACATATTTTCAATAGGCGGTCGCGCGGAAGGATCACAGTGGTCGTATTCAGCTTTGTATTGCAGTTCGCCTCTACGCGATCCTGGGCCGGCCCCAGCCCGCCACATCGTCTCGGCCCGCCCCCAGAGCAGCGCCGACCAATGAACAGCACTACTCAGAGCCCCGCCCCCTCGCCGCCGCCATATAGGCCTGGGCCTAGCCACCCCACTACGGCCGGCTGCGCCCGTTTCAGCATTCCACCCAGAACCTACACAGCCGCCCTTGTCTGGTCGTCCGCAGAGAGCCGCCGCCGCCGTCTGGGTCCCCGCCCACCTCTCTTCTCTCCTCTTTTTCTGTTCACAACGGGCCTGAGCGATGCAGCTGAGCCCGAGGCCCGCGGTGCTGGGGCTGCTGCTTCTGTACGCAGCGGTGGCCGGCGCCAGCAGCGCTGAGGAGCTGCACTACCCGCAGGGAGAGCACCGCTCGGACTACGACCGCGAGGCACTGCTGGGCGGCCAGGTGAGGTGGCCAGGCCGGAGCGGGGAGGGCTGGGCCTCGCATCACCGCCCGCCGCGGGCTTTGTCCCGGGACAAAGGGGGACTGGCAGGCGAGGCCTGGCCAGGCGGCTGGACAGTGCGGCCGGGCGGGGCGCAGCGATGCCCGCCATCCTTGCCCCTCGATCTCTAGGGGAGTCCTGGGCCTCTCTGAGCCCGAGAAATGGCGCGGCCGGGAGCCGAGTCCCTTTAAGAGACCCTGTTCTACCTTCTGAACTTGGGGCTGCATCACTGAGGCTGTGTATAAGCGGAGGAGGCCCCTGAGAACAAGTGAGATCACCCCGACACTCTATAGTTAAAGGAAGGCTGTTGGTGGCCATTGGCCTCCACTGATAGTAACGTTTGCCCCTTGTGTATTGCCTCCTTCCAGGATGAAGTCGATGAATACGTTAAACTCAAGCCCGAAGAGCAGCACAAAAGACTGAAGTCAATCATAAAGAAAATTGACTTGGACTCAGATGGCTTTCTCACCGAAAGTAAGATCAATCCCACGACTAAAGATGCAGAAATCCCTTTGTAGGGACAGAAACATATGCATTTTAAACATGGGTAACTGTTGAAAGTAGGTTACTTGCAGCCTAACAAATTAGAGATGCAGTGTGAAGGAAGAAAGAGCAAAAGGAAAAAGAAAAGATTTTATTCCTTGAAGAATCAGATATAGGGTACCAAATACAACTCGGTGCTTTTCCACAGTAAGAAAAGGGGAAAAAAAAATCATTAACCCCGCACTGAATGTGCAATTCATTCCTGGAAGGCGTCTTTCACTATTTAAAAAAATTCACTAATAACAGGTATATTAGGGAGCTCTGGTGGCCTAGTGGTAAGGAGTTGTGAAAAAAAAAAAAATCATTAACGACAATATGATTCACTTAAGCCCAAAGCTTTCTGAAAGTATTTAAGATATGTGTTGTTTGTGTTTTATTCCCCCTACACACTTGTTACATACATGCGTCATTAGCATTTTAATCCTTATGTTAATTTTCTAAAAGCAAGTAGAAGACCTGTTGCATGGGAATTGTTTTTTTTTAACTCACAAAATGTTTGAACTGGTAGTGACTTTGAGAGTCATCCTGTCTGCCGCTCCCATAAACATGAAGAAACTGAAGCTCTGAGAGAGAAATGACTTTTCCAAATAATTGACAAACTCAGGGCTAGAGTTCAGGATTAAAGGGAGCTCTGATGGCATAGCCAGAAGCAAGTTGCACTGCTCACCCAATGGTGGTCCTGCTCCAACTGTTCAAAGCCAGCAAAGTTTCACCATGGGAGAAAGAAGAGCCATTTCCGTTCATTATAGCTTACCACCTCTGAAAACTGAACATCTGAATGCTCTTAGGTAGGGTGTTTAGTCAAATATTAGGAAATCAGAGTGATTACTGAAGTTCCAAATTAATGTCTGCACTACTGTTTCTCCCCATTCCTTCACTCAAGTGTTGAGCCCTTTGAACTTTCTAAGATGATTCTTTAACAAGATTCAGACAGTAATTACTGTGACCATAAATTATTTTGCTACAACTAATGAAAATTTGCTCACAAATTAATGAAGAAATTGCTTGAGACTGAATTGCAGATTGATCGTTAAATTTAAGATGTGCTCTCAATGAAGTAGTCACATTGGTGCCTTCAAAAGTCTTGAGTATTGATTCCTTATACACAGAAATCTTTGTACCCTTAACTTATTCAATAAGAAGAAGTCCCTATTTGGTTACACTAGAATGCACCGAGTAAGTTGACTTGGAAGTCAGGGTGGTACTTTTCTGCAGTGTCTGCTTCCTGGTGCTTGATTACTAGTTTACAGTAATTGTACATTTTTTTTCTACCACATCATAGATGGTATTTCTAGGTATGGCTGTTATCTGTCTTGCTTCCAGCCCCACAGCACCTTGCTCCAGAATCAAAGCTTCATTTCACATTTACGATCTTTGACAAGAATGGAATACCCAGTATGCAAGGTGAGCACAGTTTCACGTTTGATGTGGTAAAGCCTACGTGAAATTGTTCGTCACCGAATAGTAAATAGGCAAAAGGAAGCCCGTGCTTACCTTGCTATTGGGTAATCTCTTTCTCTCTTGTCAGGGTCAGGTTATGCTTAACTATATAATCATAAATATTTAAAACAAAAGATTAAAGTGTTAGTCCAAATCTTCATTTCACTTATTAAAAAACAGGCTCTGAGAGGATAAACTATAACTTGGCAGAACTGAAGCAAGAGCTGCCCCCTGTCCACTCTGCCTTTTACTATATAACTTTAAATAAACTAGAAGAAAGATTCCTGAAGCGAATGGAAACCCTTTCCTCTTGGAGTCCCTTCATGCAGTGTTGTTAATTAGCATTTTGAAGTCTAGGACTGTATTTCAAAGGGCCTTGAGAAGTCTTTAGTTGGTGTTTGAACCTTGAAGTCATGTATAGATTTGAATCTGGCCAATACGATATTGACTCAGCTGCAGTTCAGAGCAACCCTATGGATAAATGGATCTGAACCCTGCCATATCCTGAGTCATCATACTAGAGCCCATTTCTACAGTCATTGTGTCAATCCATCTTATTGATGCTTTTGAACAGTGATGTTAGAGAAGAGTACTGAAGATCCCATGGACTGCCAAAAGAACAGATATATCTTAGAGAAGGTGCAGCCAGATGAATGTTCCTTGGAGATAAATGATATACTTAAAGCATGTTTCTAGGAAAGGACATCATGCTTGGATAGATGGAGGGATGGCAAAGGAGAGGAGGACCCTCAACCAGGTGGATTGGTACAGTGACTGCAGCAATAGGCTTGAGTGTGTTAGAGATTGTGAGAATGGCATCAGATCGGACAGAGTTCAGATCTGTTGTTAGCCTAGGGTAGCTATGAGTTGTACTTGACATGATGGCACCTAACAACAACCACATTACAAATACTATATTTGCAAATACTCATTTTTCCTTTCCTCTGTTTTTGAAAATGCCATATAGTAGATATATCTATGAGCGGATTTAAACATTGTTCTCAAATTGTATATTTGTGATTCAGAAACTTTTCCATATCAAGTACAAAGTCAAGACAACTGTGGTAGAGGGACATAATCATAATTGCTACTCATAATTTTTTTACATGTCCTCCACGTGTTTTATGACATAGCTAAAGGGTAATGGTTTCCCAAACTTTAATCACTTGGATAACTTTCTTCCAATTTTTTTATTAGTTTATAATTTCTGATTTCTAAAAGACATTGCAAGCTCTCAACTTTTGGTAGGTGCTGCACACACCCATGGAGCTCTGGTGGCATAGTCCTTAGGGAGTTGTACTCCTAACCCAAAATTTGCGGTTCAAATCCACCAGCCACTCCACAGGAGAGAGATGAGCAGTCTCCTGTGCACTTTTATAGCTTCAGAAAACCTGCTGGATGGTCACCTCTGAATTGGTTCTGACTTGATGGCAGTGAGACGAGACCTGTATAAAACTATCTGGTTAAGAACCCAGCAGAAGAGTCTTCTACTCACAATTTAGGCTTTTTTATTGTATTATATCTTATTTCCTGTAGTAACAGCATTGATTCAACTCAATTAAAAAAATTTTTTTAAAGAAAACTTCTGTCCCTTCGATAAATGAAAAAACGGTATATTCTAATTTATATTAAAATTCACAACTTAATTAAGTAAAAGCTTTGTCATTCTCTTAAAAACTTAGTCTGCAAAAGTTATTTGCAACTTGTTGACTGGTACTGAATGGGAAAAAAATGACAAATGCTGCTTTGAAATTAATTGGTAATTCATTTAACACATACTTACTGAATCGTAAGGTACTTCCTAGGTACTTAGTGTGTGTCTCTACTCATGGAGCTTACATTCATTCTGGTCATCACTTACTCTTGGACCAGCCCTGCCTCGGTCCCTATTTTTTCATCAAGGCCAAGTCCTCACTTGAGATTTACAAACACTGATGACGTCCCCCACTAATAATCTTTTAAAGATGTTTTTGAAGTCCTCCCCGCAGCAGAATGAACTTTTAGGCTCACTGTATCTGTGCTTTTGATGCTCATAGGTGAACTCAGTTCATGGATTCAAATGTCTTTTAAACATTATGCGATGCAAGAGGCAAAGCAGCAGTTTGTCGAATATGATAAGAACAGCGATGATATTGTGACGTGGGATGAATACAACATCCAGATGTACGATCGCGTGATCGACTTTGATGAGAACACCGCTCTGGACGACGCGGAGGAGGAGTCCTTCAGGCAGGTGAGTGCTTGTGCACCAGCTGCGCTTTTGATCATGCCCTGTATCCCTTCACATGCCTTCCTGCGTGAACGAGCACAAGGACCTGAGATCACAGGCTGGATTGCCTTGTTTTCTAGGCACCTCTTCCACCCCAGCAGTCATTTTAATGGTCTTCTTCCTTTATAGCAGGTTTGGGACTCTTACTCTGTATTACCTCATGTCAGTGCCTCTGTTTGTTTCAGCTGCATCATTGGTCAATTTATTTCTAACACCATTATGGAAGAATTTTTTATCATTAGCAACCTCGTTTTATATAAAATCTTTTCTTAAAAAAAACTCAGGACCTCTTTTTTTATTAATTTTAATGAAAGTTTACAGAGACTTAAAAAGACATAATATTTCAAAATTAACATGAGACAGTATTTACACTTTTAATTTTTTTATAACTCAAAAGTTGATTTAAACGTCATTTCTGATTGTTAAATGTGATGCTTAAAAGAGTCTACTTTATTTCTCTATTCCATTTAATGCTTCTTTGTTATGTATTTAATGATATAAAAAATAGTTATATTTTGAAAGCACAGTATTATTTCAAACTGAAATTTTCTCATCCTTACTCTTAGCTCCCATATGTTACATTTCAAATGTTCAAATTTCCTTTGGGATAAGCAGGAGTACGATCTAAAATATAAAAAAAACCAACTCAGTACCACTGTGAATTCTGTTGTTTCCCTTAGTTTTGATTTGTCAAAATACATGCCTCTTAACCAAGCACAACTGAGAAAGATAATCTTTACTTAGGAGTTAATAGAACTATCTCAAGATTTTTTAGTTAAAAATTGAGTAGAAATTTTTCAAGACTTTTAAATCTTTTAAACTATAAAAGTGTGTCAACTCAAATAAGTGCAAGTTTCAGAAATTCACCATGTGATGTCAGTGTGGATGTTAAGAGTTCTTATTTTCTAGCTGTCTCTATATCCGGTTCTACCATTTAACAGCTGTGTATTTTGTTAAGTTAGTGAACTCTGCTTCAATGTTCTCTAAAAATGAGTATAATATTAGTATGGAGACTTGGTACTATATTAGCAGTTGAACTGCTAAGCAGGTCTATTTTGATGAAAAAAAATATTGTTTAGGAAAACACAATCATACATTAGTTTATATTAACTTTTTTAAAATACTTGGTCTTTTGTTAACTGTATAAGCTTCATGTAAGTCGAGATATATAGGGGCAGATGTACCTTTTAGTGGCTGGTTGGTTGATTGGTTCCCCTCTCCCCCTTATTTGAGTGTTTATCTGATAGCAGACTAAAACAAACCCACTGTTGTTGAGTATGTTCTAACTCAGGGCAAGCCTCTAAGAGAGAATAGGAATGCCCCGTAGAGTTTCTAGGGCTGTAAATCTTTATGGGCGCAGACTGCCACATCTTTTTCCAGCAGACCATCTGGTGGGTTCAAACTGCTGACCATCACTACTAGGACTTCTCAGCAGAATATTTTCAGCAGAATAAAGAGGTTAGAAGTTAGTGTCTGCATTGATTTGTTAGTGCAAAAAAGGAACAAATGGTGATAATGAGATTTGGGATTGTGTCTTCTAGGCATCATCCTTTGTTAATGAAGTTAATTTATTTCAAAAGCTTCTTTGAAGTTTTGGAGCTCTAAAACCAGACCTTGGTGTTATGTCAGGATTTCCCTACTAGGAAACAAGAATATTTTAAAATCTTACTAAAATCAATTTCTAATTACCATTTTTTGAGAGTGACTGAAAGAAATATCCCATAATAAAGTTGTAATGTGCTATTTAGGTTATATTTAAAAAATTGATGAATGATGATCACATAATAGATAATGCTACTGGAAAGAAAACTGTCACTCCTTCACATTACTAATTATGTGCAATTTTTCTTTTAAACTAGATTTTACTTAATGCATGTTCCTCTCTCCATTACCTAGAAGATCTTCACAATACTATTTTTTTTAATAACATTACTATTTTAAGAATTAATTTAGTGAGACCTTAAAGGAATTGATGCAGATCCCTGAAGTGAACATTTCTCAATGGGACTCCTATGGCTTTTATTTTGACATTCCTAATAATATGTCTCTGTCTTCTTTAAGAAAGTATAATCATATTTTATTAGAATTTGATGTAAATAACCCCCTACCAGAAGAAAGTAGAGATTTGTCAAAATAAAAAGTAAAGGACAAAGGCAGAATTGATCTTAAAATGCTAGCATACATTTAAAACCATAAATAAAATATATGGCTCAATAAAAGAAACTTCTTATATGGAAATATATTCAGAAACAAAAATCCATTTTATACCAGAGTTTTATTTTCTTTTTAATAAGTTTACTTAGAGGATAGAAACAATCTGGAGTAATGACCCTATCATATCAGGCCTTGTAAAGCCTGAAAAAGCATTTCCTTATGATATGATGAACCATTCCAGTCAGCACTTTCAAGGAGGATAATTAAGATTCAGGGACTTACCTGGCAAATGCTCAATTGCACTAACTTCTAGCGTCAGCTGCTGAATATGCCTGTACAAGCAATACTTATATATGTAGACTATAACCTTGGATGTGACTCATCAGAATTTTTAAGACCTAGAGTTTTGTTTTACTATCAGAATTTATCTATTTCCTCATGCAAATCATTAGTCTACCAAAAGATGGCAGTTGTGTTCCTTACAACTTTCTCTTAAAATACACAAACAGAAATTATGGTAGTTATTTTTCGACTATAACACTCACAAGAGTTTCATGAACTCTCTTTTTTGTTGCTATCTCTTATAAATTTGCCATTTTTAAAGAAAGAAACTTAATACTTAATTGGAAGGAGTTCTGGTGGCTTAGTAGTAAGGAATTATGCTGTCAACCCTAAAGCACGTGGTTCAAGCCACCATTTGCTCAGTGGAGAAAGGTGAGCAGTCTGTGATTTACTGCCTTTGAAAACCCGCTGTAGGATCAGCTGTGAGTTGGCTCTGACTCAACAGTACACAACAACTTATTGAAGTCTTTAATAATGAGTTTAATAATAATTAAATAAATTGTAATCTTCAAATGAACATGCATATTAAAATAGGCATTACTTTGTTTTATTGCAAAATTTATGATCTGTGAATCAGAAAACTTTTTAAAGAATTCTCAGCTTGTTGAGAGTCTTTCTTCCCATAGGCAAATCTGGTTCAATTCCACGCCCTCTGCTGAAACATGGACCTTTTTTGCTGCAGAGTGAAGGCTTCTTTCATAAGGAATCTAGGCACTTGGTATTTTGAATAGTGGTTTATTCAAAAAGAACTTGATTGATTTAGCAAAACACCCTCAGTTCTTGGCATTCTTATTTCTCTACTTCTCTCTATATTAAATCCTGCTGTAAAATGTAATTATTTATTCTAGTTACTTAAAATTAAAATCCGTCAAAGTGAAAGTCATTATTTGAGGACAAGTTGGGCCATTTTGTTTTGTTTTCATTTGTGTCATGTTTGGGTAGCTTGTGAAGACTGCATGTTAAAAAGACTGAATTCTTGGAAAGAAGATGAGCTGTCTAAATCAGGCATTGTAAAGGAACTAGTTTCTGCTTTAGGAAGATAATTGCTACTTAGCCCTCTCTATTAGTCTAGAAAATTGAAAGGAGCATTTCCTTTCAACAGTGAAACAGATTAAAAGTGGTTAAATATTTGAAATCATACTTTTAAAAAATATATCCATTTCTGAGAAGGACAACTAGAATATTCAAAAAGGAAATAACATATGATTATCAATATAGCAAGGATCCCTGGTAGCAAAGTATGTAATGTATCGACCCCTGACCAACAGGTTGGCAGTGTGAACCTGTTTGAGTGTAGTATACCAATTGATCTTCAGGAGAAAGGTGAACAGTGTCCTCCCAGAAAGACTGACAGCCTTGTGCTGGAGGGTCTCTCTGAGTCGGAGATGACCGACAACAGCGATTTTCATTTTGTTGTTGTTCTTAGAAATACACTATCATTTCTTTCCAAGGCTCTTGATTTTCAGAGTGCCTTAGATTCAGTCTAGCTGAATCATTTTATTACCTGAGCAAAAATAAAAATAAGAAAGAAAATAAAAAGCTCTTGTGTGTTTATTTAGTCTGAAAATGAAACCATTTTGATATTTGATGTTTGTTTCTGAACATAAAGAATTAGCACAATAAAGCGTCTGCTAAGAATTTACTTCCAAATATTATATATAAATACAGATAGTATGAATACTTCCCTATGAAGGAATTTTTTTTTAACCTGCTAACATTTTTTATAAGTCATTTTGGAATACTAGACCCTTTTCAATTTGAAAAGGCCCCACCAATTTAATACATGGTCTACATTTATTGGGTTTTGATATCCAAAGAAAATACCGAGATTGTTAATAGGAGGTACTGTAGTACTAGTGAATGAACTGAATCAAGTTTCATATATTTTATCTGTATTTCTGACCTTGATCAGATAGAAGTGATTATGGTTTCTCAGTCAAAAATAATAATAGCTAACTAACATTTTTTAAATACTTAGTGTTTAGACAATTGCTTAATAAGGATACTTATCCCAGATGCTTGAGATTTTTATCCTGATTTTACAGATTTGGGTTTGGTTTCTCTGTAAAGAGACCAGCAGCTTGATCTGATTGACATATCTAGTAAGTGACATTGCTGGAATTCAGATCTGGGTCTATACTTGTCTTATATAAATGTTTGTTGTTATTTGTTCAACCTACCTTTGAAAGAATAATACAAAGATAGAAAGTTTGAGAATGTACTTTAAATTTCCTGTATGTTTTCAACGTGCTAATGTTGTAATACTAGCAAGATCTTTTAAGTCTTGTTCTTTTTTGTCTTTTATTTTTTTTTTTTTCAAATTTTGAAAGCTTCATTTAAAGGACAAGAAACGATTTGAAAAAGCTAATCAAGATTCAGGTCCTGGTTTAAATCTTGAAGAATTTATTGCTTTCGAGCATCCTGAAGAAGTTGATTATATGACGGTAAGAAAGAAAAATATTCAGAGAATTAATAAGTGACCAAAACTTTAAGACCTGTGATTACTAAGGCTTTATTATATTATTGTGGTTGTTGTTGTTTGGTACCATTGAGTTTAGTACGACTCATAGCGATCATATGAACAACAGATCTGAACCCTGCCCTATCCTGGACATAGTCATCCCTGATACACTTGAGCCCACGGTCACTGTGTTATTCCATCTTGTTGAAAGTCTTCTTCTCTTTCACTGATATTCCACCTTTCCTAGCATCCCTTTCCAAGCAATACCCCCTGCTAACAACATGCCCAGAATATGTGAGATGAAGCTTGAGCATCCTTGCAGTTACTTGAATTTGAAGGGACAGGAAGATCCAAAATTTTATCCATCTAAGATTAGAATTGGGAAGGAGGGTTTGGGTGGCCATGAAGAACCAAAATCCTGTTGCCTTCGAGTCATTTTCAGCTGATAGCACGGAGATAGTAGGGTTTCCGAAGCTGTCATCTTTATGGGAGCAGACTCCCACGTCTTTCTCCCATGGAGTTGCTAGAGACTTCAAACTGCTGACCTTCTAGTTAGCAGCAGGTGTTTAACTACTATGCCACCAGAACTCCTAATGTAACGAAAAACCAGACCAGACATTTCTATGAGTCTATTGTATGGCCTCAACTTATGTGATGTGGTTCCCTAATTATCTCAGGGAAAGACAGTATAGCCTTTTGTTCAGTGGAGCACTGTCACAGGTTACCTTGGATAACAAGGCTGCAGATGCTTTCTCCCCCTGAAGCTCTATGGCAAAACTCTGCCCGTATCACCACTTCCCTCACCACTCACCACTGTGAGACTTCTGATTTCTCACTTGGCATAAAGTACATGACCTAGTTTAGAAAAAGTGCAGGCCACATCTGTTGAAATGCCAAAATTAACTTGGGGCAATATTATTGTGAGCAAGAATGGCAGTCAGAGGATGCTGGATCTTTATATTCTGGGATATAAGGAAACAACGGAAGACTTTGAGAATGAGAATGACCAGTGAAAACAATGAAGTCGCATACACATTATGTGTTACAACCTAGGTGTATGGGTTAGCAATGGAATGGCATGGCATAGACTTGATAAACATTTTGAGGAAAGTGTAAACATGACTGAATAAATATGATGCCAAGGGAAGAGTCACAGAGTTTTGAATTTGTATGACAATGATAGAAGATAGTACCATTGATAATATGAGGGAAGAGAACCTGTTATCTTTGATCTTATAGCAGTGTGTAAGTAGTGTTTCCTTTCAGAGCACTTAATTCTTGTTTTAATTGTTTTTGTAAATTTGTTTTACCCTTCAAGGATAGATTACAAATAAGAAAGGGGAAATAGTGTGAGAACAAGCTAAATGACCCTACTTTGAATTTAAAACCAAAATTTAAAGTTCTCATTGATACTGTTCCAAAACTACCACTAGAAATATGTCTGTTGCCTCCCAAGAGGATTATTTTCAATAAAGGTAATTCCTCTGATTGATGGTTCTTAACTTTGATCACAGACAGACTCCTTGAAGAATCTGAGGCACATTCTGAATATGCCCCAGACAAATCATAGAATGCTCCTACCACAAAATATTAGATTGTAATTTTAAGAGATGCTCCAATTTCTTCCCTTAAAACTAGGTTTAGATTGAGATCTCCTGGTATTTATTTATAACATACTTGATTTAAAAGAAAACCGTTAAATGAAGAGGTAACTCCTATAAGTCTAAGAGAGGAAGGTAATAAAGGAAGTGCTGGAACATCACATGGGGAAAAGGTCATCTTGACCTAATATAAATAGCTTTGCCAGAAAGATTCATTGATAAGCCTTGGATAGGGGTGAGGTTTGGGGTGATTGAGGTAGATAGGGTGGAAGAGTTTAAGTTTTTGTAAAGAACCGCAAATTCAGATTACTAGGTAGAACATCAGTTTGAGAATGGGAATGACCAGTGAAAACAATGAAGACACATTCACATTATGTATGACAACCTAGGTGTATGGTTTGGCAAGAGAATGGCATGGCATGTAAAGGGATTAAGGTAAGGATCTTTTTTTTTTAAAAAAAAAAGGATTAATGTGAAGAAGGGCAGTATGCCAAAAATAGCATGAGATTGTTCATAGAGTCTGAACTGACTCATGGCTGACCTTCCAGTAAGTTTTTGGAGACTGTATACAGTTGAAGGTTGGACAAAGAATAAGGAGACAGAAGAAGAATCATTGCCTTTGAATTGTTATGTTGGCAAAGAGTGGTGAATACCCATGGACTGCCAAAAGAACAAACACATTTGTCTTGGAGAAAGTGTAACCAGTGTACTTCTTAGAGGCAAAGATGGTGAAACTTTTCTTCACATACTTTGGGCATGTTAGGAGAGGCCAGTCCTTGGAAAAAGACATGCTTGGAAAAGTAGAGGTCATAAAAAGAGAGGATGACGCTCAACAAGATGGATTGACACAGTGACTGTAACAGTGGGCTCGAGTCTGTCAGGGATGACACAGATGGCACAGGTAGGGCAGGATTCAGATTCATTGTTCATCAGATCTCTATGAGTTGTTGTCAATTAGAAGGCACCTAACAACTGATTGCACAGGAGACAGCCCATGTTTCGCCTTTGGAGCTGCTAGTGGATTCACACTGCCAGGAGGTACTGGCTTTGAGTTTGTGGTACAGCTTGCTGTGGACTAGGCCACCAGAGTTTATTGTTTGTTATTAGGCGCTAACAAGTTGGACCTAACTCATAGTTGACCCTCCAGCAACAGGTTTTCAGAGACTATAAATTGCAGAGGAGAAAATTGTTCATCTTTTCTTCTGCAAGAGCGACTAGTGGATTCAGACTGCCTGCCTCTATCTTAGCAGTGCAGTGCCTTATCCACTAAGCCACCAGAGCTCCCTAGAGATTGCATGTTGTGTGCTGTGAGTTGGAACTGACTCATACCTGACCCTCTAGCGAGTTTTCAGAGGCAATTAATTACAAGAGAGGAGATTGCCCATCCTTCTGCAGAATAGCTGGTGGATTCAAACCACATGCCTTTGGGATTGCAGCACAGCTTCTTACCACTAATCCACCAGAGCTCTCCTTAGAGATTTCTTGAGATTGTGAAAGTGGAGCTCTTCTTGAGTGTTGGATGTTGTTCTTAATGCTTCTTAGTTTTTGTTGTTAGGTGCTGTTGAGTCCTCTGCAGCTCAGTGACTGCATGGACAGCTGTGAACCTTGCCCTATCCTATGCCATCTTCACGATCTCTGCCATGCTCTGGCTCATTGTTACAGTCAGGATCAATCCATGTAGAGTCTGGCCTCACTCACATCTTGGGGCCTTAGTTATCACTTAGCAGAAACTCTAACCTGACTGAGTATACCAGCTCCAGTCATCTGCTGGGCTGGCAGATACTCTGTCTCAGGCCAGACAGCTTCTTTTTGGGGGGTTTTATCCTCTATAACTTTCTGGGTATTTGCTTGTTTGTTTTAGAGTTTGCTTTTGTAGGTAACAGTTTTCTGTACTGTGGTAGCTTGCATGTTGCTGTATACTGGAAATTATGCCACAGGTATTTTAGACACCCGTAGAGTCACCCATAGGGGCAAGTTTCATGGTGCTCACAGACTTAAGAAGCAGGACTAGCCATCTACTAAAATAATAGGCCTTTGAAAATCCTGGGGATGCTACTTAGTGGTAGGGGTTTTATTCTTATTTCCAGATCCCAGTGTTTAAGGAAGATTGTCCTCCGGCGCTGGCTGAAAATCGCCTGTGACTTCATCCATAGCCACCGGTGAGAGTCAGCGCCCAGAGCCATCAGGGGCTTTAAGCTCGTTGTCCACTGCCGTGGTGTGGACAGCTGAAACCCAGGCCCCGACAGGCACCTGGGACCGTAGTCCCAGGTATGCTGCTCACCTGCTCACCCTGTTCAGCCTCAGACCTTCCTCTGTGGAGGTCACTAATACCCAAGCCTGCAGGCAACACTGTTGAGACCACAGGAGAGAGAGCAAGCTGGCTCTCTTCATCTCAAATAAAGCTGCTTGTCTAGGAGGGAAAGATTCCCTTGCAATAAAAGACTACTAGAAAACCAAAATAAGCCTTAAAAAAGTTCTGTAATAGGGTTGATTCAGATGGTGCTGAGATTGAGTCTTCTGACTAATTTTTTAAAATGAACCTGTTCCAGGAATTTGTCATTCAAGAGGCTTTAGAAGAACATGACAAAAATGGTGATGGATTTGTTAGTTTGGAAGAATTTCTTGGTGATTACAGGCGCGATCCAAGTAAGTAGCCTTGGAGGGATATATAAGGATAGAAAAACACAGAATTAAAGAAGAATGAAACTGAAAGGCAGCCTAGCTTGATGAGTGCTCTGTTGACAGAGAAAGGGGAAACAAGAAGAATTGTGCTTCATTTCTACTTGTTCTGCAAAATTAACTGTAATATAAGTTGCACGAAAGGAATTTATAACTTATCTAAGAATGGTTTTTAGTTCTGTATCCAGAATCATTAAGCTAGATCCGTATCCTTTTCAAATAAATGTAATTGTAATGAAAAATTCAAATAAAGGAAGCTTCAATTTTAATTTTTTTTCTTTGTTCCTTGGAGGTTTTAATTTTAAACCAAATCCACTATATTTCCATCTTAAAGGGAAAGAAACCGAATACTCTTAAGTACTAGTATAAGATGTAAAAAATGACTGAGTGAAATTAGAGGAGTTTGTGCACTTAACCTTTTTGTTTTTTATCGGTAGTTGTCTTTCAGGATTGTTATTAAAAGCATCAAATACCATTTTCAAATTGGTTGCCAGTTGTCCTAAATTATATGTGGCATTATTTTAGAAGAACATGTCAGAAACTATATATTTCATGTGGTATACATTTATAAATTAAATACAATCCAAATAAAATCTGAGAAACTAGATATCTAAACAAATGGTAGTAGTTAATAAAATCACTAATTGATGACAGTATGCAGCTGTGTCATAGCTATTAATTAAATATCACTTGTCACTTTGAAAAATTATTACTTCGTTTGTATTCCAGAATTTTTCAATTAAGTAATCCTATTTCAGTAGGCTTCCTTTAAATAGTAAACTGCCTTTAGTTTCAGTATATACCAAACTTACTGAATACATGTTATGTTCTTATGCATATATCTGTGTTTTCTTTCTTTTAAGCTGCAACTGAAGATCCAGAATGGATACTTGTTGAAAAAGACAGATTTGTCAATGATTATGACAAAGATAGCGATGGTAGACTTGATCCCCAAGAGCTATTATCTTGGGTTGTACCCAATAATCAGGGCATTGCCCAAGAAGAGGTAAGTGATGCAATGACTTTTTCCTTTCTTCATTTTTATACTAGAGGAAAGGCACTTCAAAACAAATCTTAAGCAAGAACATAAGACGTGATAGAGTTATTTCAAGTTGATATATTTTTGTTTTGATTTAAATCTGTGAATTGTTTCATATCATCTGGGACACAAGGAAGTTAAGGCTGTTGTCTTACTAATTTGATAGTACAGTGAATAGAATAATAGAAGTTTACATTTACATTTATCTACAGTGGTTGTCTTCTGAGGAGCTTAAAGTGGTTTGTATTAATTTTACTTGTGATGTGTTTTATTTGGTTTGAATGGATAAAAGGAAGAACCTAACAGAAATTCAGACGGGAGATAATGAGAAACATAGTAGACAGACCCAGTTAAAAAGTGTAAGATCTGGAGGTACTGGAACTAATCTTAATGAGTACTTGGCACACCTAAATGGTTTTAGCAGATTAGAAGTCGTCTTCGTCGTCGTCGTCATCTTCTTCGTCTTCTTCTTATTATTATTATTATTTTGACCTGAAAATGTGACTGTTCTGCTAAAAAACCGGTTACTACGTGTAACACCTTATTTTGTTTTATTTTAAAGGCTCTTCATCTAATTGATGAAATGGATTTGAATGGTGATAGAAAGCTCTCTGAAGCAGAGATTCTGGAAAATCAGGACTTGTTTCTTACCAGTGAAGCTACAGATTATGGCAGACAGCTCCATGATGAATATTTCTATCATGATGAACTCTAATCCCTACCTATGTTTGAGTAGAGTACTGACTCCTTTTATAACTTGTTACCAGCTTTACTTTTGTGAGGAAATATTGATGTTATCAGTTTTACACACTAAGTCTTACTCAGTCAAAATCATTTTAATGTAAATTATAATTTTGGCCTTTTAGAAGAGAAAAAAACCTCTGGTATTTATTTCACAGTATATTTGAAGAAATAAAACATTGATATTGTGCCATATGACACTAAAGTCTTTCCGAAATACTCCATCTGTTTGGTACTGTATTGTGGAATTGAGTTGTATGAATTCAGTTGTATTTCCATACTTGAAAAAACATGGAGCATTTTCAAGATGCCTGAACAATATTATTTAAGTAATGAGTGACTAAACTATCAACTTATGTTTTCTCTTAAGTAGATTTAATTTGGGAACTGACATAAGAAAGGACAATGTTTTTTTAGAGTTAGCATTTTGTTCTAAAACCTTTTAAAGGAACCTTTATAAAAACTTAGACTTCACTTATTAATGTTGAGAAATTCTACTTAATTTTAACAGGTTTCTGTAAAGGATTTTATTGTATGAAATAGAACTTTATATTTTTGCATATGTATAGATAGTAATTATATTTAATGTATAACAATAGCATTATGGTGTGTGGAATTTGACATTGTCCAGAACTATTTTCTTTTTTTCACTGATTAAACATGAAATGTCCTATCTTTTTATATGTTTGTTTGTTTTTCCTTACTCTGTCAGATAAACCTTGATTTTAGTGTAAGTTTTGTTGTGTTCTATAAAATCTCTCATATCCTTTTCTGTAGTTAAGTGTTGTCAGAACTTTAGAATTTATTCTTATTGCATATACTTATTTTGCCCCTCTTTTTTTTTTTAATAAAAGAATCTTAATTGAATGTATACTTGACATATCGTAGTTGCTCTTGTAGCAAATTCTGTCTGGTCTTGCTCTTTGGGGCAATTCTTAAGAATTGCACACATACACACAAAAGAATTGCACATGTTTAATATTATCAGTAGAGGAAATTCTTACCAGTGAGGCTTAGGGGGCACCCTGGTGATGTAGTCCTTAGTGCGTTGCACTGCTAACCCAGTATTGATGCTGTTGAATTATGATGTCAGCAAAGAGTACTGAATGGACTGCCAAAAGAACAGGCAAATCTGTCTCAGAAAAATGTGCTCAGAGTGCTCCTTAGAGGCAAGAATGGTGAAACTTGGTCTCACCTAATTTGGGCATATTATGGCAAAGAGGGACCCTCCTTTTCCAGGTGGCCTCAGGTGTTTGAATCCATCAGAGGCTGTGCGGGAGCAAGGAGGACAGCTTCCTCTCCTGATTTACTGCCCTGGAAATCTTTTGGAGGGTCACTGAGTTACACCCTACTCTATGGCAGTGAGTTCAAGTTGAGCATAATATCAGTTATAACTAAAATTGTACTTAGAAAAAGTTTGTTCAGACTGAAATGATCAGTTTTAGTCTCATTCAGGAGATCAGTTTACCTACCTATTAAGTAAGGATACAGTGAAAATGCAAGGTGCACACGGAGTGTGTTTAACCCTTAACATAAAGCTTGGTGGTTTGAATCTACCCAGCATTGACAAAAAATGGCCATCTGCTGTCTACTGCCGTAAGATTACAGCCACTGAAAGCCATTTGGAGCGTGGTTCTGCTCTGACACGAGTCAGTCACGAGTGAGAATCTACTCAGTCACCACTGGTTGGCTTGGAATAAGTGAGAAGGAATCAATGTTTCAATATCTCTGATTCAAAGTCAGTTTTTTAAGTTTTCTCTTAAAAATTACTTTTATTTATCAGTGAATGTGTCAGCTTCACATTTTGTTGTTTTCATCCTAAATTTTGTCATATCTTGGCTCTGGGGTCTCGGTGTTTGATAAGACCTGACGTGCTTTTACTGTTGCCCTAACTTTGCTGATGAGAGTTAAGGATGCACATAGTAAACTTAAACACCATAATGATGTTTAGCTCATCTTGGCATTTGAAGTATACATGATTTCTGTTGTAAAAGACACTCATTTTAATTTTAATTCTCTGATTTTTAAAGAATTAAAGACATGTACCATTATCACTGACATTTCCTGTCAGACTGGTAAATTTTAAATAGTTTAAATGACTGGCTTGATTAGCATAGTAACAATTTGTTTTTCATGTCAAAATCTGGCAGAATTGTTAGAACACTTGATAGTAGCTTTATTTCAGTTGTTAGGAATCCTTAGCAGAGATACCCAGTTAAGAGTAATATTCCACTGAGACAAACACTCAAAACTTATTTCATTTTTTCCTTGAGCACTAGGCCTTTCTGATTCTTATAGGACTCAAGTGGAGGGAGATTGCAGCGTCTCTGCAGACAGCAGATGGCTTCATTGCTATTGGAGCTTCCTAAAGAGCTAGAATCTGAGGAATTCATATATCAAGAATACTGGTATGAAATACAAGGGTACAAATTATGATACCAAATTTTAGGGAATCAAAGATCCAAATTTAAGAAAAAATGTCCTGTGTGGGAACATTTCTCCTGACTGACTTTGCTAGAAGAGTAGCAGAGGAACTAGCTACTGATGAGCTCCGAGGTATGGGAAAGTCTGACCAATGCATCCATCAGAGCATCAAATGGTGAGATGTGAGCCTAAAAAAAATTTTTTAAGCCATTAGTTAGCCCTGCTGGTCTCCAGCTACCTTAACTGCAGATACAAGGTCTTGCATATGGAGATAGGATGCATCCCTGGCGTACGCCCTTCTCA